ATGTACATTCCTGGCTGTATTCTGATTTATGTACATCCCTGACTGTATTCAGATCTATGTACATTCCTGGCTGTATTCAGATCTATAGTGCCTTATACATCCCTGGCTGTATTCAGATCTATGTACATTCCTGGCTGTATTCAGATCTATGTACATTCCTGGCTGTATTCAGATCCATGTAAATTCCTGGCTGTATTCAGATCTATGTACATTCCTGGCTGTATTCTGATTTATGTACATCCCTGACTGTATTCAGATCTATGTACATTCCTGGCTGTATTCAGATCTATAGTGCCTTATACATCCCTGGCTGTATTCAGATCTATGTACATTCCTGGCTGTATTCAGATCCATGTAAATTCCTGGCTGTATTCAGATCTATGTACATTCCTGGCTGTATTCAGATCCCTGTACATTCCTGGCTGTATTCAGATCTATGTACATTCCTGCCTGTATTCAGATCTATGTACATTCCTGGCTGTATTCAGATCTATGTACATTCCTGGCTGTATTCAGATCCATGTACATCCCTGGCTGTATTCAGATCCATGTACATCCCTGGCTGTATTCAGATCTATGTACATTCCTGGCTGTACTCAGATCTAAGTTGTAATTCTTAGGCTACCTGTATTGGATACTTTAGGCAGCTGCATCTCATCGAGTTTCTGTCCTTGTCTGTCAATTTGGACAACAAAACCAACGGATTTTTTAAAAATTTTATTACGTGTGTCCAACTTCTCTTTGTTACTAAATGACGGCTCCCTTGGGGCTGTCCACTGGGCCACGTGATCAAGAAACACGTCACTATCGACCAGCGTCAGTGGCGGCAGAGGCACGGTGCTGGACTGAGCCGTACCGTGACCGGCAATTACTAACAACGGGTTCAACAAAGCCGATGTGACTAGCTTTACATCTGGCTTCGGCACTAGTAAAACGCTACTATTTATATCTTTATTGGTGTGCGTGTGTGTGTGTGTGCGTGTGTGTGTGTATGTGTCAATTTCCAATCACTGTTTATTGATTATTATAAGCTTTAAAAAATTAAATGTAAGAAACTAACCCCACAAATGTTGTATTTTATTTACCTGAACTAACCCTTCGTGTGTTGTGTTTAATTTACCTGAACTAACCCTTCGTGTGTTGTGTTTAATTTCCTTGAACTAACCTTACATGTGTTGTATAGTATTTTATTAACCAGAACTAACACTTCACGTGTTGTGTTTAATTTCCCTGACCTAACCCTTCATGTGTGTTTAATTTCCCTCAACTAACCCTTCATGTGCTGTGTTTAATTTCCCTGAACTAACCCTTCATATGCTGTGTTTAATTTCCCTGAACTAACCCTTCATATGCTGTGTTTAATTTCCCTGAACTAACACTTCACGTGCTGTGTTTAATTTCCCTTAACTAAACCTTCATATGCTGTGTTTAATTTCCCTGAACTAACCCTTCATATGTTGTGTTTAATTTCCCTGAACTAACCCTTCATATGCTGTGTTTAATTTCCCTGAACTAACCCTTTATATGCTGTGTTTAATTTCCCTGAACTAAAGCTTCATGTGCTGTGTTTAATTTTCCTGAACTAACCCTTTATGTGTTGTGTTTAATTTCTCTGAACTAACCCTTCATCTGTTGTGTTTAATTTCCCTGAACTAACCCTTCATGTGTTGTGTTTAATTTCCCTCAACTAACCCTTCAACTTCATGTGCTGTGTTTAATTTCTCTGACCAAACCCTTCGTGTGTTGTGTTTAATTTCCCTGACCAAACCCTTCAAGTGTTGCGTTTAATTTCCCTGACCTAACCCTTCATGTGTTGTGTTTAATTTCCCTGAACTAACCCTTCATATGCTGTGTTTAATTTCCCTTCGCTAACCGTTCATGTGTTGTGTTTAATTTCCCTGACCTAACCCTTCATGTGTTGTGTTTAATTTCCCTGACCTAACCCTTCATGTGTTGTGTTTAAATTTCACTGACCTAACCCTTCATCTGTTGTGTTTGATTTCCCTGAACTGACCTTACCTGCGTTGTATCTCATCATGTCTATTTCAGCATTGGATTTATCGAGTTCCTTCCCTAATTTTTTTAATGGAATAAAAATCCCGCAACGAATTATCGATTTCTCAAAGCCGCAGAGTTTATATTTTCCTTCCCCACCCCGCTCTCCACACATCTGGTCTTTTATCCAAGACTCCAAATTTAGCATTGTTTGGCGGCGCAATTTGCTTGTTAGCGCCATCGAAGCCCACGCGATGACGGCTCCGCATTGAACTCTCTGCGACTGTCGCGGAAACAAAGACTCATCGCCTGGCCAGCCAATGGCGCGGAGTTCATGGCAGAGCCTCAAGCCGTAGCGCTAGTTTGAGTCATACGGTCGGGTGAGTAAACGTGGTGGGGGGGGGGTAAAAGTGGCTGGTGGGGGGATTTACTCACGAAAAGAACGTCTGTGACAGGCTGAATTTCTGACCTGCTGTTGCCCGCTGGGTGGTGTGTTGTGGAGGCTTCCAAATCATGAACATTTAGGTACGTTGTTTTGATTTTGACGAATGTTGTATAGTGGTAAATAGATCCGTACTTGGTAGCTTGTAATCACCGGAGGAAGTAAATTTGTGTTGACACCGTACAAATCGTTTCGTCAAAATGTAACAACATCTTTTATCTTTATGAGGTGGATGGTTGCTAATTATAGACTAGACCCTCATTGTTTGTGCCATGGCATACGGGTGTGATTGGAACATTGTGATTACTGTTCAGTAACATTAAACGCATTCATCTTCTTCACATATCAGCTCTTTTGGTGTATAACTGTCTTTAAACGATAAGCATTATTTGCATTGATTGTGTTTAAACACATACTTTGAGCTTGTTAATTTGTTGTTGTTTTTTTTAATTGATGAGTAACTAGTTGAGATAAGATAGTGATGTTAATTAACAAGAGAAGACATTGTATACAATGGGGATCAAATACTGCGTAGACATCAATAATGACATATGTCAGTAGAAAGACATATGCCATTTGAGAGCTATGTGTCAATAAAGCCATGTGACGATGAAGGCATGTGTCAATAAAGACATTATATCGATAAGACTTACGTGACCTGTGTGTGCACATCTGATCAGGTGTCAGCCAGGCAGAAGGTTCATTGGAATGAATTCTTTGTAATAATTGTATGTTTATTACTTTAGTCTTACGATTATTTGCATTAAAATATTAGTATAAATAAATATGCTATCATTGGAAATAGAGAGGGGTGGCGTGAAGGGGAGAGAAAGAGAGACAAACATGAGACTGTGTAAAAGAGAGAGAATGAAGGAAAGTAAGGGAGAGTGTGAGAGAGTGATGGAGAGTGCGAGAAGAGTGCGAGAGAGAGAGAAAGAGAGAGAAAGAGAGAAAGAGAGAGAGAGAGAGAGAAAGAGCGAGAGAGAAAGAGAGAAAGAAAGAGCGAGAGAGAGAAAGAGAGAGAGAAAAAGAGAGAGAGAGAGAGAGAGAAAGAGAAAGAAAGAGAGAGTCCAAAAGTGAGAAGCAGTCGGTGAGACTATGAATGTGTATCTGTGTAAGACAGTGTGTGTGTGTGTGTGTGTTTGTTTGTGTTTGTGTGTTTGAGATAGCTGGATAAATTTAAGAAAGAAACATTACAGTTAAATGAAAAACTATCAAAATAGATGCCACCCACTTTCATTACCTTGGAGAAAATGGTGTGTGTCTGTGTATGTGGTATGTATGTGTGTGTATGGGTGTTGATGAGGTAAACACAGACACCAATTAAATGGCGTTATCTACGACCAGACAAGTCGATTATCTTTCAAATGTCTGTCTAGAGAAATTCAAATGTCTTTAATAATTAAAGCAGAAAAACGAAAGTACTTCTATTGTGTAGGCTTAGGCAAGGGCGTCTCATTCTCAAGCAGTGTTTCAGTGGGAAGTGGAGCCGGGGTGCGAGGGGGGGGGAGGGCGGCGAGCGGGCTTCAGAATTATACGTGGTGTAGATCTTTGAGGATAAAACCCAGGATGTAAGCTCTTGATACCGTCACAAACGTTTCTCTAAAACTGGGGTTGGCAATTTGCGGGCTGTTGGTAAGGATCTAGAGCAGAGGTTCTCAATTTGTGGGTGGCGACCCCTTTGGGTGACAGCGACCCTTTCCCAGGGATCGCCTAAGACCATCAGAGTGCACATATACTCTACAGTTATGAGTTAGAGACGAAAATAATTTTTTGGCTTGGGGTTGCGACAACATGAAGAACTGTATTAAGGGCTCGCGGCATTAGAATGGTTGAGAACCACTGATCTAGAGGATTTGGTTACGTCTGATGTCTGATGTACATCTGGATGTTTGAATAAAGTAAAGCAAGTGTTTTTTGTTGTTTTTTTATCAAATGTGCACGTGCTAATGCAGAGATACTTGCAAGTGTCGGTGAGTGAAAGAAATTTGACAGAACGTGTAAGGATGACATGGTCGGACAGATGGGAGTTGACGTCACTATTGTGATCTATGGACATGACGTCACTAGTGTGATCTATGGACATGACTCACTATTGTAATCTATAGACAAGACGTCACTATTGTGATCTATGGAAATGACGTGACTATTGTGAGCTATGGACATGACGTGGCTACTGGTATTGTGATCTATGGACATGACGTGGCTACTGGTATTGTGATCTATGGACATGACGTGACTATTGTGATTTATGGACATGACGTCACTATTGTGATTTTTTGGACATGACATGACTATTGTGATTTATGGACATGACATGACTATTGTGATCTATGGACATGACGTGACTATTGTGATTTATGGACATGACGTCACTATTGTGATTTTTTGGACATGACATGACTATTGTGATTTATGGACATGACATGACTATTGTGATTTATGGACATGACGTCACTATTGTAATTTATAGAAATGACGTGACTGTTGTGATATATTGACATGACGTGACTATTGTGATTTTATGGACATGACGTGACCATTGTGATTTATGGACATAACGTCACTATTATGATTGAGGGACATGACATTACTATTGTGATTTATGGACATGATGGGACTATTGTGATTTTATGGAAATGACGTTACTATTGTCATTTTATGGACTGCTGAATCAGTTAAAACGGTTTAAGATTATTATTAAATATTATTATATTTCTGTATTGTTTTTTACTACAGTTTTGTTATTTGTGATTTTTTTTTTACATTTCCACAGACGATGACAATGAATTCTGGCAGCAAACTTCCCTTCTACGAGGTGGTGGTCAAGGAGGTGAGACTTTTTGTATGAAACATTGGGTTGATTTGTTTTGTTGTTTTTCAACTGTCGGCCATAGGTGAATAAATAAATGATCAACTTAGGTTTTTAATTTTTCTAGCGGGTTAGTTTCTTTGTTAAATTTTAAAACTTTTTGCATTTGTAAAAATGAGGACGTGCCCCGGATATGGAAAGTATAATTTGGTCTGACTTTTTACCTTGTCCGGAAGTCTGGATTATCTAATGCAGTGGTTCTTAACCTTCCTAGTGCCACGACCCTTTGATATAGTTTAACGTGTCGTGGCGACCCCTAGCTTGACAAGTATTTTCGTTGCTACTTCATAGCTGTAAAGATATGTGTTTTCAGATGATCTTAGGCGACCCCTAGGAAAGGGTCGCGTGACCCCCCAAAGGGGTTGTGACCCACAGGTTGAGAACCGCATAACTAGTATAACGCGTAATATCAAAATTTAAATGCAGACTATAACTATATATTACAGTTTGTAATTTAATGGCGTAAATCTATTAATAGTACATCCTTTTTTAAAGATTGTCTCCCCATTGAGACGATTGTAACATAAGTGAAAACATTATTTATTTTTTAAATGTCTCCTGGCAGAAGTTTCTATTACGAAAAAGACCTATCAAAGGCGCAGTTTGAACAAAGTTACAAATCAAAGTCGATTCTGGACTAAAGAATCTGTAATTGCGAGTTCACCCAGGGGTGTCACTAAGGTTGGTGTCACACGGTAGGGTAAACTCATGGTGTTCCCCCTCCCCAGCCCCGAACTTCACATATTAACATAATCATACAGAATCGCTTAAAGTATTTTTTTTGTGTGTAAATTAAGTCCTTTAGCAGCAAAAGACGTAGCAGAAAACATATAAATTGAGATAAAGCGTATTGAAACAAAAGTACATTTTAATGAAAAAAAGTACATTGTATCAAAACAAAAGTACATTGTATCGAAATAAAAGTACATTGTATTGAAACAAAAGTAGACTGTATTGAAACAAAAGTAGATTGTATTGAAACAAAAGTAGATTGTATTGAAACAAAAGTACATTGTATTGAAACAAAAGTAGATTGTATTGAAACAAAAGTAGATTGTATTGAAACAAAAGTAGATTGTATTGAAACAAAAGTACATTGTATTGAAACAAAAGTACATTTTATTGAAACAAAAGTAGATTGTATTGAAACAAAAGTAGATTGTATTGAAACAAAAGTAGATTGTATTGAAACAAAAGTACATTGTATTGAAACAAAAGTAGATTGTATTGAAACACAAGTACATTGAATCGAAACAAAAGTACATTGTACTGAAAAAAGTACATTGTATCGAAATAAAAGTACATTGCATTGAAGCAAAAGTAGATTGTATTGAAGCAAAAGTAGATTGTATTGAAACAAAGGTAGATTGTATCGAAACAAAAGTAGATTGTATTTAAAAAAAAAGTAAATTGTATCAAAACAAAAGTACATTGTATCGAAATAAAAGTACATTGTATTGAAACAAAAGTAGATTGTATTGAAACAAAAGTAGATTGTATTGAAACAAAAGTAGATTGTATTGAAACAAAAGTAGATTGTATTGAAACAAACGTACATTAAAGTTAAAGCTCTCCTTTCCTGGTGCTCAAATATTCATAACTGTTAATCACTTATTCAAAATCGACATTCTTCACCTACTAATTCTCCATTGACATGATCGCAATATCAGAAAGCCTGGAATGTGCCCCCCCCCCCATACACACACACAGATTGTGAGAAATAGTTGTAGACTCGATGAAAAGTTTGGGAGATATTTTAAAAGTACCCCCTCAGCTACGAATTTTCAAACTGCAAGTGTCGACAAAGTTTTAGCTTCGCTGGGATTAATACTCCGCTCCTTTCACGTGTTTCGGCAGCTTTCGCGTTTCTGGGCAAAGTCACGTGACTCATCTTAGAAACTGTTCAGGTTTTTTTTTATAAAACTCCACCAATTAACTCTTCTTCATTCACAAACAGTAGCCTCTTACCGTCAACAGCCTCCACAATCTATGTTTATGTTTAGCTCCTAGATGGCTCTGGAGTTCAGAATGAAAACGATCAATAGAATCAAGCATCGCCATCTTGTTTTCTTAATGAAAATGTGTTGGTCGTCTCTTGATTTCTCAGCCGTTTTGTTCTAAGTGTGCATAGGGTTTTGGGGGAAAAGAGATTAGAGGGGAGGGGTTGAATTTGAATAGCGTAGAAAATGTGAACGTCTGTTAACAAAAAAGCGGAGCAAAGATCAAAGATCACAGAAATACAACTAAACGTGATTTACCAACTCATAATAAATGTTAAAAATACACAAAGCAGATTCCGCATTTGAACGAACTAATAATAGGAATTTTGTATGTGACCGTGACCTCGATGAGACATCGATCGATGAAAGTCAGTTATCCACGCTAAAGTGAGAAGGCGCTATCGGTCGGCACGCGAACAAATCCTAGCAGACGTGAGTGCCCGTGGGTTTGGTTTGGTTTTTTCCTTTGGCGAAATTTGTGTGGGGGTGGTGGTTGGGGGGGGGGGTGAGTGTCCTTTAATTATTTAGTTAACTTTATTTTATATTAATTTATATTGCTTTAGAAGTTTTTCTACATACTAATAAGTATGTAAGTAATTTCAAGTGCCCCCCTACCCCCAACCGGCCCCCGTTTGTTATCTAATGCGGACGCCCATCGTTGCAGATAAAACCTCGGCGGACACATTTGGAGTTATCCTGGAATCGGCTTCAACTTTTGGACGGGGAGACAAGAAGATTTGAAAGTAGAGCGGTCATGTGATAGGAGGAATCGAACCATTGGGATCATGTTAGGCCATAAACACCCCAACCTTTGGACGGCCAATGGCATCGCACATCCGAAGTTGTGAGAAATGGGTTTATATTAAACGTTAGGCTTCATTATCTTAACATGGGAAGGATATCTTTACAATATAAATCAATGTCCACGTTACCGTTACAGTAGCTCAATTCGTAATCGTAATAGTATATAGTTATGTTGATTTGGATTAACTACACCTCTTCTGTTGTGTATGTCTTTAAGTGGGTTGACATGCGCGATACCGTGATCAGGTAAAAATAACTTCAACTTAAAGTCGCGATACATTCAAAGTAAGGTTGTATGTTTACTAAGCCAGTGTCGGTAGTATTCGGACATAACTGTTAATCGCCCGACACTATCTTAAGTCATCTGGTCAGACACGACGCCACAAAGCCAACCAATGCGTCCTTGGGTTTATATTATTGTAGTCGGCATCTGAACTATGAGGGCGATGGCGGCCTCGCCATGTTGTTGTGAAGCTGGGTGTCAAATACAGACGGAGCTGAAAGCCATCACACATTAATGTTCCACGTGATGCTCCTATTGTCTGCGGGATCAAATGATACTCTTTTATTTTAGTTTATTAATGTCTTTATTTATTTTATAGAAGCCTACTTCTTGTGGACTTATTGTGTCTCTGGTGTCACCGGTGTCTGTGGTGATCTGGTGTCAACGGTGTCTCTGGTGATCTAGTGTCACCGGTGTCTCTGGTGATCTGGTGTCACAGTTGATCTGGTGATCTGGTGTCATCGGTGTCTCTGGTGATCTGGTGTCATCGGTGTCTCTGGTGATCAGGTGTCACAGTTGATCTAGTGTCACTGGTGATCTGGTGTCATCGGTGTCTCTGGTGATCTGGTGTCACAGTTGATCTAGTGTCACTGGTGATCTGGTGTCATCGGTGTCTCTGGTGATCTGGTGTCACCAGTGTCTCTGGTGATCTGGTATCACCAGTGTCTCTGGTGATCTGGTGTCAACGGTGTCTCTGGTGATCTGGTGTCAACGGTGTCTCTGGTGATCTGGTGTCAACAGTGTCTCTGGTGATCTGGTGTCACCGGTGTCTCTGGTGATCTGGTGTCAACGGTGTCTCTGGTGATCTGGTGTCAACAGTGTCTATGGTGATCTGGTGTCAACGGTGTCTCTGGTGATCTGGTGTCAACGGTGTCTATGGTGATCTGGTGTCTCTGGTGATCTGGTGTCAACGGTGTCTATGGTGATATGGTGTCTCTGGTGATCTGGTGTCAACAGTGTCTATGGTGATCTGGTTTCAATGGTGTCTCTGGTGTCAACGGTGTCTATGGTGATCTGGTGTCAACAGTGTCGATGGTGATCTGGTGTCAACGGTGTCTATGGTGATCTGGTGTCAACGGTGTCCATGGTGATCTGGTGTCAACGGTGTCTATGGTGATCTTGCAACATAATTATTCAACATCTACGTATTAACTGGGGGACAATGGCGGACATGAGCTGAATATTAGTTACACAAATAAAATAGGGTCCACATGTTTCCAAATAAAATGCAGCAACCGTATGTTAACTGTGGTGTCGTATATGTTCATATAACCTACAAGTGTAACTGGTCCCGGTTTCAAATAACCTACAAGTGTAACTGGTCCAGGTTTCATATAACCTAAAAGTTTAACTGGTCTAGGTTTCGTATAACCTACAAGTGTAACTGGTCCAGGTTTCATATAACCTCAAAGTTTAACTGGTCCAGGTTTCATATAACCTACAAGTTTAACTGGTCGATGTTTCATATAACCTACACGTTTAACTGGTCCAGGTTTCATATAACCTACAAGTGTAACTGGTCCAGGTTTCATATAACCTACAAGTGTAACTGGTCCAGGTTTCATATAACCTACAAGTGTAACTGGTCCAGGTTTCATATAACCTACAAGTGTAACTGGTCCAGGTTTCATATAACCTAAAAGTTTAACTGGTCAAGGTTTCATATAACCTACGAATGTAACTGGTCCATTATTACGCCGAATGAGATCAATAATCACAAGTTGAACTTACTCGAGTAGACTTTTACTTTGAATGAATACATGCAATAGGATGCACGGGAAGTGACTTTCTTACGCACAGATGTTTTGTGCTCATTAATTCCAGCGAAATTAGTATGCAGTTTTCAGTCAGAGGCGTAGCCTACTACAAAGGTGGAGAAGAGATATGGGGGATAATGTCCTTCTACGGTCCATAAACAAGATTTTAGACGCTTCACCGTTGCAAATGATGAATTTAAACATAGGAATTTTAATATTTTAAATAGTCTAGGAAACAACGAGTTCCAAATATTGGCAAGTTCTATATAAGTAGTAGGCCTAATGATGAGTGCCAGTTCTATACAAGTAGTAGGCCTAATGATGAGTGCCAGTTCTATACAAGTAGTAGGCCTAATGATGAGTGCCAGTTCTATATAAGTAGTAGGCCTAATGATGAGCGCCAGTTCTATATAAGTAGTAGGCCTAATGATGAGTTCCAGTTCTATATAAGTAGTAGGCCTAATGATGAGTGCCAGTTCTATATAAGTAGTAGGCCTAATGATGAGTGCAAGTGAACAATATTCTAACTCAAAACACGTCCAAGTTAGGGGCCTACTCTTCGAACGTTCCAAATAAAATTGGCGACAGTCTGATGATACGTGTCTCAATGTTATTGATGGTTTTTTCCTGCTGTTCTGCCAGCATTTAAAACTGAATAGTTTGTGTCTGCTTCCAGGAGGCGCCGTTCGTTGTACTGGGTAAAGACAGCGAGGGCAACAGAACCTTCTCCGGCCTGTCCATAGACTTGCTCCAGCTAGTGGCCGAGAAAGCTCAGTTTCAGTATAACATCAAGCTAACAGATCACAGCTCCTATGGCTATCAGGATCACGTTGGGAAATGGAACGGGCTTATATCAGAAATCTCTAACAAAGTGAGTATCAGATTTATGATTAAGGCTTTGTGGCCTGATATTGAATACTCTAAGTAGTTTAGAAATAATCCCATTACACTTAAGAACCACCCACTGCGTAAGTTCTAATTCAGGAAAAAATCATACTAGTGAACTAAATAATTAAATGCTAAGACACAACAGTGCAATTAGTTCAACTATTTTATCACTGGACACAGTAACTTAATTACTGAGTACCTGAGCTCTCTATGCCTTGGAGCATAAAGGCACCGAGTAACAAAACTGACTAATAGAGTTACAATCACCTATGAATGACCTCTAAATGTTAAAGGCTTCCTAATATTTCTGAAGTTTCTAGAGATCTTGATATTCTCCTCCAACTAGAGATCTTGATATTCTCCTTCAGCTAGAGATCTTGGTATTCTCTTACAGCTAGAGATCTTGATATTCTCCTTCAGCTAGAGATCTTGATATTCTCTTCCAGCTAGAGATCTTGATATTCTCCTTCAGCTAGAGATCTTGATATTCTCCTCCAGCTAGAGATCTTGATATTCTCCTTCAGCTAGAGATCTTGATATTCTCTTCCAGCTAGAGATCTTGATATTCTCCTTCAGCTAGAGATCTTGATATTCTCCTTCAGCTATAGATCTTGATGTTCTGTTTGACCAAGAAATGTTAACTATTGTCAACAAAGCTAGAAGACAATGCCAATGCCTTCACACAATGCCTCACATAATGCCAGTGCCTTCACATAAAGCCAGTGCCTTCACATAACGCCAGTGCCTTCACATAACGCCAGTGCCTTCACATAACGCCAGTGCCTTCACATAATGCCAGTGCCTTCACATAAAGCCAGTGCCTTCACATAAAGCCAGTGCCTTCACATAATGCCAGTGCCTTCGCATAATGCCAGTGCCTTCACATATTGCCAGTGCGTTCACATAATGCCAGAACCTTCACAATATAATATTATGCAGGGCTTATTTTAATATCTTTATTAATCACGAGATTATCTACTAAATTTCTTATTATTGATTCGATGAAAACATAACCAATCTATTGTTATATGATAAACTAAATAATGTCTATCACCACTGTACTTATTATGACATATCAATATCTCATCAGCAAATTTAGATGTAAAATATGAAGTTATCACTGTCCCCAGAATGCTGACATTGCGGTTGGACCTATCCCACCAAAACCAGACAGCTATGACATGATAGAGTTCACCAAACCGTATTTATCCAGTGGCATAAGTTTGCTTATCAAGGTCAGATATTATTCACAATTTTTAAAATTTTAGGCTTCACTTCAAGTGCATCTGTCAGTTGACATCTTTCATCCTACATCATCCTACCTGCTTCATCTGTGTACAATGAAAAATATATTTTGACAAAAGCAGTTTTATTCCTTTCTCTGAACTTCCTGTACATACATTTATCAGAAACAAAGAGGGGAAATAAGAGGAAGGGGGGGGGGTGTAAATCACACTCAGATTGAGTGTTTAGATTTTTTTAAAAATATCAACCTTTGCAATAACTTATTTTTAAATATTGAAATGAAATGCTCTCGCTTGGAGAAATTGAGATCAGCACGTAGCCTGACCACTAACTTCTTACACACCACTGAAAAGATGCATTACCAAACCATGATTTCTGTACACCATTTTCATAAGTACATTCAACGATGCCCAATCTTTATTTTCAGTACCCTTCTGAAGGTACCAGAGGAATTGGTCTCATGTTAGATCCCTTCACAACAGAAGTGTGGACCATGATCTGCCTGGCCTTTATTGTCATCAGCCTTGCCTTATTTCTCATTGGTCGGTTCAGTCCTTACGAGTGGGCTAGAGTTTCCAAAGACAAAGATGTGAGACTCGCTCGGACCAGTTTTGGCCTGAAAAACAGCTTTTTGTTTGCAGCAAGTACCCTTAGTTGGCAAGGTCAGATTTGTTTTTGTTTTTTTGTGTGCTTAAATGACACATGTCTTTCACAGTTTGGAAAATTCAAGAGTTGAACTATGATTAGAACCAGTAAATGTACTGCTTTATAATCATTCTGGTTTATATTAAATGCTTTCTTTCATGAAGCTTTAAATCATAGATGTGGCATTTAGATCATAAATAAGACAATCAAATTATAAATATTATACTCTAATCATAAATATGCCATGCAGATCACACATGTGAAATTTGAACCATTTCTTTGACTTTAGGATTATGAATATAAGATTTAGGATAATTTAGATCATACACTTTAATCGGGACTGTTTTATATACCTGTATTGTGTATCGGTTGCCAGGTTACAGAGAGGCCCCCAGGTCAATCTCTGGGCGGATCTTGATGTGTATGTGGTTCATGTTTACTGTGTTTGTGATGGTTGCGTACACTGCATGTCTGTGTGCCATACTGACCACACGAGGAGAGTCTGCTCGCCAGCATTTATCATTCTCCAGCTTTGAAGACATAGCAGACAGCAAAGTGGTCAAACTTGGAGCTGTGAGTGATTGCTTCTTATTGTGACTATTCCATTTGTAATAATATTTAGGTATGTTTTTAATGAGTAGGTACATTGTCTAATTTATGGTTTGAGTATTGATTTGTATTTAGTTTTAACTTTGTTTCCAAAATTTATTTTGAGATTTCTCATTCATGATAATATTATTATATTTTTCATTTATTTTAAGGAATGTTTGACATAATGCAATATATCTAGTCTAATATATATATAAAATTAGAAGAAAAGTAAGTTTTAAAAGCTGAAAAATAGCATAGGTTTTTATATGGAATTGATATATATAATTTTGTCAATGCTGTCAAAAGATGGAGTGTATTATAATATAGGAGATAATTTGCATGTTAATCACCAGATGAAGTACAACCATGTGCACTGGTCCCTCAAGTTGGGCAAGTCATCGCATAACAACTTATTCGCCAAACTGTATTCTTACATTGATGACTCCCAGGAATGGATCCAGAAGAGACAAGAAGGTAAAACAAACACACACAAAAATTAAATATATTTATTTTAAGGACAAAACTAACTCACATGACACAAACATTGTGTCTTAAAAGAGCTGTAAGGTTTTTGTTTTGTTTCCTAAATTAATTTTGTTATGGTTTTACATCTGCTATTGCACATAACAGTGTCAAATTAAACTAACTGCTGGATTATTGTAAGTGGCTGGTTAGCAGCCAAGTCTATGGAGTAAAAATGTTTGTTGCTTATTGCTCAACAAAAATACTTAAAATGAAAAGAAAAAAATATGCTATTCTCAATTTATAAAAGTTATATAATGCATTTCATTCCAACAATAAATTTGAAAAGTGTATTTTTTTCTGTAAAACGAAATGTTAGCCATTCCTTTTTGTAAAGTGTTTGCTGATCTTTATCTTTCAGGGATTCAGAGAGTGAAAGATTCAGGTGGGAAATATGCCTTACTTTTAGAGACAATAAAGGCAGATTATGTGACAGCAACAAATTGTGACCTTATCACATATGGAGAAAAACTGGCTTCTTTTGGGTATGAACAGTAACAATTAAACTAATTAATTTAACTTTATCAGTTTTACAGTAATTTGTATTCAAAACTAAAAGACCCAGTTTAAAAGTTTCATAGACCTTAATTTTTTGAAAAAGTAGAAATCAGAGTAATAGTTAGATTAATCGATAGTAAAATCTTGACCTTTACTATATTCATTTAAATCATGAAAAATAGATATATTGGCTGTTGAGGATTAGGATAAGAAACATTAAATCAACATGTGTGTCTGGAAAATTTCAATCCCCGCTGTTTTTCTGTAATAACAGTTGACCTTTGATTAACATCAATAAAATATATTTTAAATACAATTGATTATTACACCTCAAGTACATATGAACTAGACATTTACAACTTCTAGACTCCAATTTTGCCTCTGCACCTCTGGTTTTGAATATGTTCTGTCGATGACTTTGAGATATTAGAAATACATTTAAGTTAAAAGTTTGGACGACTAGATTTTAAATGTATATCAGCATTTTATTTTCATCCCTAATCATATTTTTCTTGCCTGTTCCAGCTACACATTTGCTGTTCCCAAGGGCTCACCTCTGTTGGAGAGAATAAATCTAGCCATCCTTGAACAGGTGGAGGATGGCGCCATACAGAAACTTATGGATAAACACATTTTTAGACACCAGGTGTGCCCACAGTATGACAAGACAAAACTTATTCCACAGAAGGGGGGCACCACACAAAAAGTTACCTCCAGTATGGACATGAGAGACATGGCCATCCCCTTTCTTTTCTTGTTTTTGGGGGTGCTTGGAGCAGGAGGTGCACTTGGAGCAGAAATTTATTACAGACGAAGATTGGCAATGAAGGTCAGACTTGTGCAAAATTTTATCATTAAAATTAGTGTACTGGTAATTTGTTTGAATAGAACAAATAGAGAAATAAAAGAAAAATTTGTCTATAACTGTAGGATAAAATATTTCTATCCTATTGACATATATAAAATTTAAGGATTTAAAGAAATATTTTACATTTTAAATGTGTACTTTTGTACTGAGAATTGTTACATCATTTTTAGACCAAATCAAAACTCATTGAACTGTATATGGAGCGCAATAAAATTATTTTGTTCAGTTTTGAAAACAAAACAGGATTTACAAAATGTATCAGGCAAATATTTTTTTTTTTTCTAGATTTTTTCATTGATTTTATATAAAATCTAATAGTTTAAGACATGATATCATTACAATGCTACTTAAAAAAGTTAAATTTAAATGAAGTAAAGATAAATTCGAATAATAATTTGTCATCTCTTTGGATCATTAATGTTTAAATAATTGTCTTTTCTTAAAAGAACTCTGATGATAAAGCAAGAAAGCCATTAAACACAGAGGCTGCTATCTCTAAGGCTCCTAAGTCAAGCCCACCCCCACCCCCAATTTATAAAGTGACCAACAAACTTCAAGACTCTGGGGAAAAGGAGAAACAAAAGAGTTCCATTGTGGTCGTCACTGAAACACCAACAACTGAGTCAAGTAGAGATGTAGAATCAGCCGAAGCCTGTGGTGAAAACTTTGAAATGGTTCCCTTGGATGATAAAGTTGAGCTTGACAAACAGGAAGACAACCCCAAACAGGAAGTTAAATATGATACTGAAGCAGCAGTCATAGAAGCAGTAGACAAGTCACTTGACAAAGATAAGGCAGAGGTTATCAATGAAACTGCATAAAATAATTATATTGTTAATTTAATTTCATCAATCTTATTAATTCCTATTTCATGAGTTATTTAAGTCTTAATTGTAAACTCGCACATTAAAAATTTTGTTCAGTTGTTTTTCATAAATTTTGATAAACTTAACAATCTTTTCAAACAAGTTTCTAGATGTTTATAAAACAGAATATTTAATTGTGCAGAATTCAAAGATTAGTGTTTCTTTAATTGCAGATGATAATCTTCAAGATTAAACAAGGAAATCTAAAATAATAAATTATTCACGGGTAATACTAAATAGTTATCTATTAACAATCTCTGAGATTTCTTAAGTATTTTAAAGGTAGTTCATATATAACTTCTCATAATATTGCTTATTGTACAAAGTCCTCTCCCGTTATGATCATAATTACTTATAAATTTAAGACACCCCAAATCATTAAAAAACAAAATACATATTCTACATATATGTTTTCACACATTTTTTGTACTGGAAAAATGAAATTCTTTCTCATACTTAAATATAATTTTTCTCATATTCATTTCTGGGTGACATGATATTAGGCTACATATTTTATTTCTTAATGCTTTTTTTTTAATCTGAAAAGCTCCCATAATAAATTTAGCAAATGTGAGTTCTTTAATCCAAATAATACTGGTCTCATCACATTTCTTCACCCCCCCCCCTTCCACCCCCTTTTTATTTTTCCTTTCTCTACTTGCCTTGTTATATTTAATTTCATCAAAAATTTGTGAACCTCCCATCATGCCTGACACTAAAAGCCATTATTTCTAAATTAAATTCGAAACATTCTGTAACATTCATTAGACTAGATCTATAGATACATTTATTTAAGATATTTTCAAAATAAAACAATTAACTTACATTGTATATAATGTTGGTGTAATTTGAATGTTTTTTGTTTCTTTTGCTGTACAGATTTTCTGTAGTTTCAAAAGTAAGCAGCAAACTTTAAAGGATCACATTTGTAAATTGAAAAAACACACACACTTTTTGAGCTTTGCAGATGATATGTTAAGAGAGACAACCATGATTTATAAGTTTCATATATAGGCCTATAGTTATAGCATTTATATTTATGCAATATTTAATCGTCTTTCAGCGAACTTTTTCTAATATGGTAATATAAACAGACATGACATTTAAAAAATTAGGGCTCTCATAGTCATAGGGTGCAGATGGGTAAAATCATCAGATAGGGGGACCAAAATAGTGGTCTCTTTTTTCAAATAAAAGTTTTTTTAGTCTATGTGATGGCATGTGATGAAGTCAATAGCGATTAACACTGTTTGTGGCTACACTAGATGACACCTGACCTAGTTACACTCGTATAAATAGTACCATTCTCAGTTAAGGTGATTACAGCTTTAATGTGTATCATATATCTATACATCTTCAATTATCTGTTTTTGTGCATGAGTAGGTTTCTTACTGTTGTTACATCATAATGATTTCATATTTGGAAGATGAATAACACACATTTTTAATATTATTAATTTAAAAAAAAAAAATTCAACTATATTGATATTTCTAATGAAACTTATAAAAATTGTATCATGTAAGTAGATAGAATGAATGACTGTATTTTCTTTATTACATATAATTTTATGAAATGAATTTTTTAAAGTTAAAAATTCCCAGAAAAGCGACTGACTCCACAATGTGTCAAATTGTACAAAACAAAATGTCTCTTTTCTCTGTTTTATGTTAGCATGTTCAGTGTGCATAATTTTATAAATTTGTTATATATGATTTTTTAAATGTTTGATTGTTGTAAATAATTTAGATGATTCTTTTAATTTTAAGACAATATTAAATCTATGGCTACCCATTAATTTTTAACCTGGACAGAATCCAACCCCCAATTGGAATAACATTATACCATGGGCGCCCGCAGAAAACTTTCTGGGGGGGGGGGGCAAAAATAATCAATTAACTTTCCAGGGGGGGGGGCAAAAATTTTTTAGTAATGTTTTAATATAGTTTTAATTTACTTTAGCATATTTGTATGGTGAACGAACGGACAGGACATCAGCTTAGTTACTTTCTCTTTATTTTCTCTTTATTTTAATACATTTTTTGTCTATTTTCGTCTAAAAAATTTTTATCCAATCAATCCAGGGGGGGGGGGGGGCAAGGGCCCCCCCTTGCCCCTACTTGCGGGCGCCCATGCATTATACTGTTGAGCCTCAAAAGATATAACAGATCAGAAATACCTCTAAAAAGTCATAAGGCCAGTTCCAGCTCTATGAGACTTCAACTGAACCTGTTTGAGATACTTTTCATTATATGCTGTCATGTCTGTTATTATTATATGCTGTCATGTCTGTTATTCTACTCTGAATTGGTTATAATAAAAATTCCTCTTAATTACTGCTTTCTCACTACTCAAATAAAAGTAAGTCACAACTAAGCAGCTTATAAAAGAATTGCAATAATTAATGACATTGGCATTAACATAAACTAAAATGAGATGAAAATGACTGGATGAAATGATACTGACTGGTAATAAACTAAACTTTATCAATCATGTATCAATCACTTCATCCAGTTGTTAAGATATAACCAGTACATTATTCAAATTTGACATATTTAGGCAAAATATTGGCTGGGTTGATTTTGTTAAATGAAATCTGTTAGCTGCACTGGTACTGCTCAGACACCACACCATTTGAGAACCACTGATTACATGACATAATGCAAATAATAGCTGACTGAAATAAATATTGTACATTTACCAAAAAAGATTACCTTTAACTCAGGTTCAGAATTTATTTAACACTCAAAGTATTTATGTAAATATATTAATAATATTATCTTAGACTTAATGTCATGTCGAATGAGTGATTAATGATTATTTTTTTTGTGTATAACGCAGAAGGTCTCAAACTAAAACCACCCAGAACTCATATCACAGAATTTTTTTATTCTTAGTGGCTTTAAAAAGACATTGAAATCCTTTATGCATTCTGTTCATTTTCCAAAACCATTTTTTTTAATGAGTCAAAAGTTTGACGTGTCCTTCATTACTTGCTGTTTAAAAATAGAACTGTGTTTTTATTACTTTTAACATTTTAACATGTTTATGGTTTTTACATTGTTAACAATTTCATTTGTATTTTTTGTACAAATTTTTTTACCATTTTTATATGTGTAATAATGCTACTTTCCTATGGTGCATTACAAACACCTGAAATTGGGTGCTCAAAATCCTTCTGTCAATAGTTCTTTCATGTCTGCCATTATACCTAATCTGTGGGCTTTAAATGTCTACTTTCTTGTCACATGTTTTGTAGTAATCATTGTAAATATTTATTTTGATGTAATAGAAAGTCTTAACAAGTGAAATACAAAAACTGATTTATGTTCCCAATAATTTGAAGTGATATTCTCAGCTAAGCCCTTCATTATAAAATGGAAGCTATTATATTTCAAGAACCTTTGACATTTAAAATTAAATTCGCCAATACTAAATAGTAATATAACATGTTAGTAGTTAACTTAACAAATTATGCAGTGACATGTGTTCATCTGAAGCTTAATATGCCACATGAACTAATATCAAGCTTGTAAGGCACAAATAAAGGTCAAATTTGTGGAAACTAAAAAGAGAATTAATTTACAATCATGACATAATTATGACAGTGTCAGATGAGTTCAAACATTAGTACAGGATCTGGAAACACAAAAGATATAAAGGTCATTTAATTGTTTAAAATACAAATAATTATTATTTTTTTGGTCAATCTTAAATTAAATACTTAACAAAGCATCTGGAAATAATATAAAAGCATCATGTCAAATTTATTTTTATAAAAGTAAAGCAGGAAGAAATGATTATATTCCACGAAAACCAAAAGATCCCAGAATCTTTTGTGGAATTTATTATATGATTTAATTTGAACTGTCCTTATTGTTCATATTTTATTTTTGATTTTGTTATCATCAAAATATTTTATCATTTAAAAATGTTCTTGTCGCATCATTTCATTAATTTAAAGTTTTTATATATTAAAAACTTATCACTCCAATGTCCATGTACATGTATTCTTCTGTTTAATTGCACACAGTCCAATGTCTCTGTACATTTTTTCTTCTGTTTAATTCTATTGTACACAATCCACTGTATCTGTTCAAATTCTGTACGATGTAAGGAAAGAAGAAAAAATCAAATAAAACAACTTGTTCTTGTTTTTTTTTTGTTGGTGGAGGGTTAATTTTTTTTTCCTTCTTCATTTCAAACCTTAAAGTTATTGTCTAATTTTTGTTAAACCTTTGAGTCTGTTTATAGTCAATATAACATTAATTTTTAAACATTAGTAACAGTAGAGCTTACCAGGCTTTCAAACTAAATATCGTAAAATTTACGGGCAAATAATCCTAAATCTGCACAATATTTACGGCACGCACATAGGCCTATATGTGTCACTTCTTTGTGATTGTAATTATAGGATTTGATAATGAGGCTTTCATCAATTTGTATTTTTTTCTGGTAAAAATCATTCCAGTGTAAAGCAACAAGACAAACTCTATAATGTTCTGTTTTGTTTCGTTTCAAATATTGTATTTTACAGTTTCTAATTTTTTAAAGGATAGCCCTAAACCAGGGGCTGAAACTGAAATCATCCGGGGGCCGCAGGAGGGAGAGTCTGAGTGAGACTGGGTCGCATCAAGTATTCCAAAAAAAAAGCTATTACAAATTCAATAAAGTTAACTGTTAAAATGTGCTCAACATCTATTAATAATAAATAAGAACATTAAGGGTTCTTAAGAGCTAGGCTTCGTTTTCTTCATCCTACTCCTTCTGTCAGAGGCCTGGCAACAGCTGAGCAACATTTGGCTTGAGTCAGGAAGCAACTGAGACCCTCTGTAAAGCTTGAAGATGCTCATTAGTAAGATTGGCCCTGAACTTTGACTTGTTAAAATTCACAGTGGAAAAGATCCGCTTGAACAGCCTGGAAATCTCAGGTAAGATTGAAGGCAATGCGCTCATAAATTGCCCATGCTTGACTGTTTTTTTCATTCACCTCCCTAAACTTAGAATTTCACTGAAGATCGATCAGCTCCATTTGAAGCGCATTTCGGGGGGGGGGGGGGGGGGGGGGGGGGGGGCATTTTCCACATTGAAGGTGAAGGGTCGGAAAAGATTTGAAAAGTGGCTCTGAGTATTTTGAAGCCTGAAAACATGTGATCAAATTCTTCCTGTAGCTTTGCAATGGCATCAGTATATTTACTATTGAATGATGTACAAATTCACTGTGTTTACCTGACGACTACTCTATTTATGTGATGTTGCTCTTTTCAAACCCGTCTATCCCAGGCGTGATTGTTGCTCTGTGCAAACCCTTCTATTGCGGGCGTGATTTTTGCTCTTTGCAAACCCTTCTAACCAGGCTCGATGGAGGCCCTTTCACCCTCCGGTCTATTGAGAATCCAATAATAATTTTGAGCTAACAGCATAAGACGATGAGTGTTTAAAATGTCCTCCAGATGGGCCGTTATACCCGTTTTCCCCATATGATCATTGAAAAAGTATTTAAAACCCCCGTGTGACTGTCGCTGCCTACCATATATCATCTTTCAATAGGACTACGATTTGTCATCTTCCAAATTCATCCTAGCTTTCTTTTTGAATTTGAAGTCAAAGAAAATGAAACGAAAATAAATTATGATTATCTACAACAGTGGTTCTCAACCTTTATAACGCCGTGACCCTTTAATACAGTTCCTCGTGTTGTGGTGATCCCCCAACCATAAAATTATGTTCATGGCTACTTCAAAAATATGTTATTTCTAATGGTCTTAGGCGACCCCTGTGT